CCTGGGGCAAGGAGAGGGACCTCTGGTGGCAAAGGTCAGGGGTTAGGGGATGGGACTTTTGGTCACAAGATGGCGACCAGGGGGCAGGGCACCTGTGAAGGGGTGGAGCTACCCATGCGGCCCTTGACAGCTTGCCAAAACTTGGTAAGCAGCCCTCCGCCTGAGATAATTGCCCGCCCCTGCCTTTATAGATTTTTTTTTCTTCTCTGTTTTAATATTTTCAGTTTCAAGTATTTGCTTTCTTCCTCACACACGGAAAGGTTGTCATGATGGGAGGGAGAGTCTTTGAGCTAATGTGAGTGTAAAGGAGGTTATCCTATGCTCCAGTGAGGAAACTGAATACATGTAGATGCCAACTGGATTTCAGAAGGTATCTTTGAAAGGTTAAGAATGCATCTAATCTTCACGGTCATTCATGCTCACAATTGCAGCTTAGAAATCAGTTTTGTTTGGTAGAAGATATTACTAGAAAGATGTTTGTTTATACTGGATGACCATCACACAAGGGAAGAATAACCTACTGGAACAACTAAGCAACTTCATTAAGGGTTCATGTCAACCTTTGAGACCTGGTTTAGGAGTTCTGATGCTGGTATAAAGCTTATTATGTTTTATATTCAGAGTGACTTCATATACCCTTAACAGCCTTTTTTAATTGTGAAGCTTGAAATATTTTAGCACTAAGCCTGTTCCCAAGCTGTCTAATATGCTTTAACTTGCACATGCTGTACGTAACCCAATATATAATCCTTTCAGAAAAATCAAAAACAAACTCACCATAGGAAAAAAAAAGTTATGTTTATGCAGTGGAGACTAATTTCTGCAATGGTTGAGTTAAAAGAATGTTATCTTGAGTATGCAGCCCATTACCATTAATTCTGGGATCAATGGAAGAGATGGTATAAAATGAAAGATTGCTTTACTAAGAAATATTGCAGTTTTGTCTTCTGGAACTGTGAAACCTGGAAGTAAGCTTTGTTTTGAAACGTATTTCCCTTCCACAACATGCAACAGTTTTACAATTATCCAGTTACACTATAATTTGTTGTTCGAAACAGGATCCTTTTCCAAAACTTGACATGGCATTTTTGAACATTTGTCAAAAATGTGTTCTTTGTATTTCATGCAAAGAGTATGTGATTCCAAAAGCCATTACAAATCATATATTTAAAGATTTTGTTTGATAGATTCATATAGGATTTCTTCAAACGTACTTAAGAGAAAATAAAAAGATACAGAAACTACTTACAGAAACACAACTTAGTCTAACATTACAAACATCCTCATTAAGCTAATTCAGAAAAGAGGAAACCTCATGAAGGTATAAACCACAACTTTATATATTATTTTAAAGACACCCTCCCATGATAAAAAATATACAGAAAATTCTGTTTGCTTGAAGATGCTAGGGTAGATATTAAAAACTGGGTTATGTTAATGTTTAGGTCCATTCATATACACGCGTAGGGATATAAAAACATTCTGTAACAAGTAGTTCCATTGCACTCCTGATCATGAAATTCACTCATACATTTTTGTAGACTTGGGTCATTGTCATGCATCATGGGTTTTTGAATTCTGATATGTTATGTTCTACTGTCTATGGGGTGGGATTTTCAGAGGGGCATAAAGAAATTAGATTTTCAACTCAAGTTTTAATTGTAGTTGGTTGTGTGTTAAGTGTTTAGAAGCAACTTCTGTATATGCAAGTTACTGTTGGGTCAATGAATCCGATTAATTCTATGTACATGTTTTATTTACAAAGGAGGCAGTATATGGGAGATAGGATTTTATTTGATCTCCATTCTGACAGGGAAATATTAGCTGAGAAAAGAAACCAATATTTCTTGCTTCATATAAATATATAATCTCCAGGTAAAGGAGGATATTTAACTAACAGATGCCCATAAACTGAGGGGAGAACTAACATTGCTACCAGCTCATCAATCATTAACTGACTTTTCTTTTTCATAATGTATACTATTGTTGTGAAATTAGATGTATATTTTTTGTTGCAGTGAAATTTGGACTCCCACTTTATATTAAGGTTCCATGTATAAAGGATTAGATGTTTTCAGAAATGGCTAATCAAGTACTAGAATATAGCTCAATAGCAGCTCAATAGGTTGCCTTAAGTATCAGTAACATTTTCTCCTTGCTGGTGCCTGTAATCATCTATAACATACATCCTACTACTGTCTGTTATATAATGCACAATCTATAAGCCTTTATTAAACCTTTATAAATAAAACCTTAATATAAAATGTAATTATGTCCGATCTATAGCATTCTCCTAATCTAGTATAAGACTTTTTGATTTGAATGTTTCTTAAAACATTCGGTTACAGTATAAGAAAGTGCCTATTAGATGTTCAGACTTATCATGTCAAACATCAAGGATGACTTCCCATCATTTCACTATCAGTGTAGTTCTAAGATATTTTATTCTGATAATACACTTAACACCTCATATGACAGTTTGAAAGGCTATGATTTATAGGCTCCATTACCATAGATTTCTTTAAAAAATTATTAAAACATACTGGAAAAGATGATTACTCAAATATATATACATAGACATTTCAGCATACATTAGTTTTCCCAGACAGTATACTGCCATTCTCTCAGGTTCCATAGCAGTGTTTCTATTTTGCATGAAAGTATTCTGAGGCCACCAAAGGATATAGCCCATATTGTCATTACAGTTTATCTATAGAAATTACTTTGTAAGGAATGCTTTGAGATGGAAGGTGTTTTGATTTGTTCCTCTTGATTTATGGTCACTGGATTACATTGTTTTAAAAGACATACAGAAAAAAACAAAACCAAACCAACAAACCTCCCTGGGACTGAAACACTTTGTATGTGTTGTTGTTTGCAGTGCATGCCAAGACATTCATGGGCACCAGAGCCAAGCTGGCGAGCTAATTAAATATATAAATGTATGTGTTTAAACAGCCTTGTAAGGAGCATTGGAAATCTGCAAGATGAGCGAATATCTTATAACTTCTTCCGCAGGTGCAAGGATAGCTACAAGCCATGGACTTTCTGTCCTGCTTCTTGTTTGTGGCTTTGTGAAGGGTGCTTTGCTTTAACCTAAAAGTGCTGACTTTTTCCAATATCGCTTTCTCTTCTTAAAGCAAAGAGCAAATCGCCTGTAAAATCCACGGAGCGGACAGCAAAGTTGACCCTAACCTCCAACCACCACTCTGCACCCAATGTACTCTAAATCTCTACACAAGGAGCACCTTCTTCAGGAAGTACAAATAATACAAAACAAAATAAAATACAAAAATATATAAAAAAGAAGAGGATACCACACATTTTCTTGAATATATATTATTTTCTTTGACGTATCACTGATCTTTTATTTGAAGAGAACTGGTGTGATGTAATAGGACATTTTGTAATGGCAAGATCTTGTTTCCATTTCTTTCGGCAAGTAGAAGCATTATATCCTTGACTGCTCAGGGGTTGGCCTGTGAGTCATCGGTATTACACGATTAATTGTGTATGGCATTTGGTTTCCAACTTTGAAAGAACTGTTCCAGCCTGGAAGCAAACAGAGGCCAAAAGAACCAAAACAAATCTCCAGAAAACAAATTGACTCAGTGTCAGCTACAACAAAACACTCCCACAAACTTTAACAAAAAGCCATTTTTTTGTTTGTGGGGAGGGAGGGCAAACCAAAAAATTCAACCTTAAAAGCAGCTAACAAGACTAAAGGATGTGGTTTCTGGACAAGCAAGCAAGAAGTTGTACTAAGGTTCTTGTTCTTTTGTTTGTTGTTTGTTGCATATTTTTTCTTTCTCTCCTTTTCCCCCCTCCCTCTTCTTTTTTCCTTGGTTTGTTTCTTGTTCAATGGTGGCAGTTGCTGACTTAGGCCAACTCCTGATGACTGCGTGGAGGTTAATATAAATACATCTTTTTGTGTGTTCTATATTTCAGTGTGTTTTCTCTAATTTTGCAACTCCTGTATATGCAAAACTAACTAAATTCTGTAAATTGCTAACAGTATGTGTGATATGACTTCAGAGTAGACATACTATGGTCTTCATGCAAGCCAGTTTTTAATATTATCTATATGTCATGCCACCAACAATCATCTTTGTTTCCTTTTTTGATGAAGCATTATTTTTTAATTTGTAATTCAGTACTGTGTGGATTTTGTAATACATACATTCACTTCCACTGGTTTGACCCCTTACAGATGGCAGTGCAGCCCTCTGTTTACTCTGTAAAATGCACATTAAAATTTGTTATGGTCTCTGAACACTGAACTATTTTAGTTTTGTGTACAGTGTGATGCAGTTTGATTGCTCAAAGCCCTTTTAATTTAAGATGCTTGTTGAAGATGAAGTGATTTTAACAGTGGAGAATAAAAATGTGACTTTGCAGAGAAATACTGAATATGAGCAAAGTTAAAGGATGGGGGGGACAAGCCAATAAACAAACAAAAAAGCCACAAAGTGAACCAAACTGACATGTTCTTGAAAAATTTATTTCAAGAATGGCTTTTACAAAGTAATTTTACTGTACTGGTTTGCTACAGTCACAAAAGTACTGTGACTATGAGGTTGCTTTCTTTATCGTTTCTATAGGTTTTTCATTCTTCATTCATACTCTTATTCAGATTACCTTATGCTATGCTTATGAACTGAAAATGAAATGTTGGTGTTGGCTGGAAGTGATATGCATAACATGAATTACACTCAGTAATGAAAAAAGGAAAATGTATTAACATTTGTTGCTAGAAACAGACAGTTTTTATTGTTTCCTCACTCTCTTTACTCGTGAATAATCCAAGTCCTTCCTGCTTGTTCATCTGTGGTCTGAATAATCATTTATACAGTACTTTACATGATTCTTTGATCTGTTGATAAAAGACCTTGCAACACAATGTGGTCAGCAGAAAGAATGGTATCTCATTTTAACCTAATATCTCTTTCTCCTCATAGTCAAAAAGAACTAGCTACATTCAGTGTCCCTAAAATCTAAGGCAGGAGTTGGAAACTTATGGCCCATGGGTTAGATCTGGCCTGTGGAGCCACTGAATCTGGCTCATGGAGTTAGGGAGCTCTGGCTATGTTTGGTGGTGGGTGGCTATGCCTGCCCTGTAGCTGGGTGATGGAAAGAAGTAGTGATAATGGCAGCAGGTGGGTCTTAGTGCTGGCCTTCCTTAGATTTGAGCTAGGCCATTCCAGCCCATTGCCTGAAAATGTTGCTGGCCATTGGTCCAAGGCCTGAAGGTCTAATACTGGACTTTTCAAGAGTCTCCTAATGGTCTATTCCTCTTCCTTTTAAATTAATGGCACAGAGTCAGTCTGTTGGCTGGCTCCAGCATGGGGTCAGAGTTTAGGATCAGTCTGTGGGTGCAAATCTGCGTGCCAGCCAGGACTGACATGCTGGATCTGGCCTCATAATGATCCCATGCACTGGTATGATCATTCAACCCCATAGAGCTCCCCACTGGTATGGAAATTTGGCAGCAGGAGAATGGTGCCAACATTAATTGCCACCACAAATAATGCTGCCACTACCCCATCATGATGGTGGGATCCTGCACTGCTCCCTCATTGCTACATTTCTGCCCCCTGGGTAGTCCCACAAGCTGAATGACAAAGCTTCATGAGTCTTGTATCTGGATTGCATAAAAGTGTAAATTGTGCTCATTTTGAACAAGAGATTACACTAACTTCACTGGGAGTACTCACAGTATTAAATCAAACACAATTTGGAACATAATTTACATTTGTTAAAAATATATTTTATAATTCCCATATTTACTTGAATATAAGGCAACCCTGAATAGAAGGGGACCCCAAATAATTAGATTATGTATTTGGAAAATTTATAAATTCATTATAATTTTCCAGGTGTAGAATCTAAGTATTGAAGGGTTGTCTTAAATCCCCCCACCCACCATGTGCTTCATGCCTAGGAGAGACCCCAGCCCAAGCCAGAGCTGAACTGTAGTAGGTGGGGGTAGGAAATAGAAGTTGAAGAAGGGAAGTGGAAGCGGGAGCAGGAGGGTCTGACTCTGGCGCAGACCTGGGCTCAGGGTCAGTCAGAGCCACAGCCACCTGTTCCCCCTTCTGCTTCGCAAGCAAATATAAGACAAGGGACTTTATTCTCCATTGTGACTGTGAGGTAAAACCTCATTTTATAGTTGAGTAAATACAGTAGTATACATTTCCTTATCATTTCTTACTGTTAACAAATTATTATAATCTAATCCAGAGCAGAATGATACAATCAGGCCAGAGGGGGAGAAAAAAGAGAAAAATTAATTTGTTTAAATGTCCCAGTACAGAATTTTGTGTTAAAGAAATTTTGTTAATATTGTTAATATTGTATAGCCCTGTTGATACAGAAAATAAAAAGATCCTTGGTTTAATCTGAAACAAGGCTAAATAAAATTAAAGAAAGTCATGAAAGAGTCTGAGCTTCCAGACTCTTTTTGTGCAAGCATCTGCAAGTTCTGCATTTAAGTGATGCATCTCAGGACAATGGGTTACACTTTCAAAATTCAGGGGGCTGACAAGCATAAGTGAACCATATATGTCCCCTAGGAAAGCAAGCATGTAAGGCCTGAGCTTAGAAGGTAACCCTGCAAGGAACTGAGAAACTTCAGTTCCTATTGACACCAAGGGAAGCTGAAAGCTCTGATCACCTTCCAAATGTTTCTTAACATCTAGCATATTGCACGTAAGTATCCATTTATTGTCTTTCTTAATGGAGATCATACATCAGCATATATTCACACTGGCCAATTTTAATAACAAATATGGGATATACATATGCATTTATACAGACTCTTCCTATTGCCTGAAGAAAGGTGTTTGTGCCCAAAAGCTTGCAAAGAACAATTTTTCCAACTATATAGTTGGTCTAATAAAAGATATCACATCTACCCAAATAACCTTGTCTGCATTTTTACATATGCATTTTGCAGGTACAACTTAGCCTCCAAATTCTGAAAATTAGGACCTGAATATAATGTTGCATCTTCTGCTATTGTTTTTTTTTTTTTTTACTGACACGCTGTCTAGTCATAGTTTCCATGTAACATGTGTTAGAATAAAAATCCCACTGAAATTAAAAATGGGACTATGAGACACCTATTTCAACATAACAAAATGGGGAAAAAACCCTATAGGCTATGTCCAGATGAGTGCAGCCATGCAGTATCTAGCAGTACAGACACAACTGCAGTGCCACACACTGCACATTCAACTGTTCACTGTGCTACAAGGTAGCAGCACAGGTGGAATGGGGCAGGAAGGGGAGTTTGACCCCAGGGTATCCTGAGGTAAAAAAAGAGTGGGGAAAAAAAAAAGCAGAGAGGTTCATGTGGGGGGAAGCGCACCACCCAACACTGGAGCCTGGGTGGCCAGAGTCACACTCTGGCTGTCAGCCAAGCTCTGGGTGGCAGGATTACCACTGCTGCAGCCCCAGGAGGCCCCCAGGTCCCAGGTGAGGCTTCTAGGGCCAGCCCAATGCTGGCCTCAGCCCCCACTCCCCTACCCGGAGGAACCTGCTGCGTGCCAGAGGGCACATACCACAGGTGTTCCCTAGGGACACGTATCAGTGGCACAAGGTGCGTTGCTGCTTCTTGTCCTCAGAGAAACAAATGTCCATGCTCATGTGGATGTGGCCATAGAGGCTTTGTCATGAAAAAGCTTGGCACTCTAATCTCCCAGAATTCTTCAACCATGTCATCAAAAAGTGGATAAAGGAAAGTGGGGTGACAATTTATTGGGCTTTTGTAAAGCATTTAACAAAATATCTCACATGAAGCTAGTAAAGGGGATATTTTAGTTTTCTTTTAATGAAGTTATAAACCCTCATTCTTCAGGTTACAAGTTAACTAGTAGCTCCTAAAAAGTGTCCTGATCAGTAGACTACCATAATGGTCCACTCAGACCTTTCTTGCACCTTCATTCCTATGAATCTAGATACAATAAGAAGCAATAGCCTGTAAAAGGACCAACTGCCAGTCAAAGTTTTATGTAGCAATTCTGCAGAACTCTTCAGCATATGTTTAAGTGTGTGCTTACCTCTAACTCCTGTTTCTAGGACTTAAGTCCATAATAAAGCTAAGCATATACTTATGTGCTTGGCTAAATCAGGATCCTAGAAAAAGGCGACCTGCACCTTGAGATAGTAATTATTTTCATAAGCCAATTTCTTTAGCATTTGTACAATAAAAGGTCAATATTAAGGAGGCCATTCAAATAATGTGTGATTTGCACCACATGCCTCCCGGAATATTACTTGCATGTAACCATGATGCTGGCAATAGACATTAACAATGTCAGTATCTGCCTTTCTCAAACATATAAAAGGTTCTTGTTCTCTCTAATACAAGAGTGAACTTTTAACAAGTCTGAAACACTTTCAGCTTTATGGTTAGGTGTCATCCAAACATAAAGCATGCATTTCATTATGTTATTTATCACCAGTCCAGAGAATAGAAGCACATGAATATCATGTAGTGTAGAATAAAATTAGCCCTCCTTCTTTCATGGTACTGTACATATAAATTGTAGCATTTCTGACCTACTAACAAGAACTAAGGAAAACTTTTACATGCCTTTCCTTGTATACTGCTCCATAAGCATCCCAAAGAGTTCATATTCAGAAAACCTCACACAGAACTTGAAACAGGGTTATAATCTAGTAGGTTTTACATCTGTTGTGGATGATTATTATTGTTTGTCACTATCTAATATTTAAACTACAGCAATACACAAAAGCCCCAATCAGAATGAAGGCTCCACTATGTTTGGCTGTGTAGAATCACAATACATTGGACATGAAATAAAATAGTACTCTTACTATAGTTACTCCTTGTGGCCATGTGGGTCACTCACTTTTCCTTTGGTGCAAGTCAGTTATAGAAGTTAGTTATGACCACCAAGAAATTCATTTTTTTCAGCTATGAGACGAGGGTCCAGAGGAAGGCCATTCATATGGTTAGGGGCTTACAGGACAAACCCTATGAGAGACTGAGGGACCTGGACCTCTTCAGCCTCCACAAGAGATGGCTGAAAGGTGATCTTGTGGCCACCTACAAATTCATTAGGGGAATGCAGCAAGGGATTGGAGAAGCTTGTTCACCAGGGCGCCTCTCGGGGTAGCAAGAAACAATGGGCACAAACTGACAGAGAATAGATTTAGGGTAGATATCAGGAAAAACTTCTTCATGATAAGAGTGGCCAAAATTTGGAATGGGCTTCCAAGGGAGGTGGTGCTCTCCCATACCTTGGG